ATATGTATATATATATATATAAGTGTAGGAATCTCAATCAAATTGTACAGTTTTCACATATTAATTATTATTATTACCTTAAACTCCAATAATACGATATTATTTATTAGCAACGATTGGGCTTATCACTAAGGGTTAAGAAGAGTTAATGTATTATAACGACCAATGCCACCATACTACCCGTTGTAACGTGATCTAATGATCAGCCAGTTTGTGTGGCATTACATCATACTCATAGTAAATCGATTAAAAGCCATTTCGCTGGTACTGGTAGGAAGGTATCTGAATCGTTCATAGAAAAGTAATTTCCGTGTAGATGTTGATTTATTGTTTTTATTACTGAGTTTGAAGTTATTAGATAGAGAAATCTTTATTATACACCCATATATATATATACCTTTTTTTAAAAAATCTCAAATTTTACAACACTGTATAATTATATAAAATGCTGTTTAAATTTTACTTACAAGTTACAACGTGCCAGAATATAAAAGTTGTATAAAGTTTTAGGCCTAAAACAGTATGAGTCTATGACTAAGGGAAGAGAAACTTCTAAAATTACAGGTTAAAGATGTCTTATCAATGCAACATCTTTCAATATTACAGGATATTAATGTTATGAGTCTTGAATCTTTGCGTTTTATTTATGTTTATTAGTGTATTGGTAATAATATTCTGAATTTTTGTGTATTAACATAATAAGTATTAATAATAATAATAATATGTTTTCTCTATTGATTTGAAAATTATGCATGATAAAAATCCACAAGTTGTAGTTGTGCTACTGTTACAACTAGCGTGAAACTTTTACTAAGTTTGTTTCTTTTACAGTGGTATTCATCATTAACTATGTATGTACCAAATTTGCACACAAAGAGACTTTGTAAGATATTTTTATTCAACACTAAGAATAATCAAAATGTTAATACCAGTATTCTGAAAAAAAAGTATCTATTAGAAATTTCAGAAGTCTTGAACAGAATGTGCTTACAATTCGAAAATGTCAAGCCTGGACTTTTTTCAAATGACACAAGTCAACTTCAAATACAACAATACAACTTTAACACAAGAAGTTAGGAGGAAGAACCAGAAAGAAAAACCTAACTTTGTATATAATCACAAAATGAATCTAATATAACAATGCTTTCAAACACCATGATCAATCATACATCATAAAACTTTATAAGTTCTAAACAAGTTTCTAGCAATATTGAATTTAAAACCCTTTGTTAAATTTACAGTAGACTTTAAATATACAGTGATCACATAAAAGCTAATTGTTATCTTCATGACTATTTCTCCTCTAGTGAAAGTTTTAAAATAATTAGTCACTAAAAACACAGTGATGTCTATTAAAGGTTTCAAGTTTATTCTCTATAAAAATGAAAATATTATATATATATATTTTTTATATATTTTCAAAAAGCAGGCTGAAAAGAAATGTTTTGCACACAGTAGATAGACTTGCAAGTCACATTAGGATAAAATTTTAGCCTTCAGTGGGTTATACCTAAATTACCATTAAAAAGTTCTGCCACTTGTGGAAAATCAGTGGCTCCCAGTAAAATTTGGGGGAAGGAGGGATGAAATAGCCATTATTAATGTTGGTCAACTTGGGGCCCCAGAGAAAGGCTTGAGTCCCCCGCTGGGTGAACGTTAAGTCTTCGGATTTACACTGCTAAAATCAGGGGTTTGATTCCCCTCGGTGGACACAGCAGATAGCCCAAT